GCTCTGGTCCCCCTGCCCGGCTTCCCGGGGCCCTGCCTTGCCGTGCCCGGCCCTGCCCGCCCGCAGCCGTTCGCGCTCCTGCCCCCGTTCCGCTGCCCGTGCCCGGCCCGGTTCGCAGCCTGACCCCCGTACTCCCGCCGTGGACTGCCCTGGTTCAGGGGCTGGAGGAGTCTTCTACTCTTCAGTGTTACTTTCTGTACGTGTTAGTTCAGCATTTAAATCCAGCGGCATCTGGTTGATGATAAAATTTTGAATTTTTTGTTAATTTAGTTGTTCACAAAGAACTTGGAGAAAGAGACCCTGAGAGCACCTCATTCTCCCTGATTTTGTATCAACATCTCTATATATCCCTCTTTCCTTCCATTATCTCTCTTCTCCTATTACATATCTAAATTCTGCCCCTCTTCTAGATGAAGTGAATCTTCCTTGCTCTGTCTATGGACTTCAGAGAAGCACCCAGAAGGATAATTAACTGCAGATAATAACTCTGATTTCATTCCAAAGCAGTGGCCTCACTGGCAGATACATTGCAATAGCCATGGGATCAGCTATTCAGCCGTAGCAAGAGCCAGGAATTACCCCAGTGTGAGCGAAGCCAGCAAAGCATTTTTTAAGTTATGAGAGGATACAATGTCAAAGAAAGGAGCCAGGAGAAGTTTGGAATGTTTTTGGTGATGTGAGCACTAGCATGGATTAGTGCTGATTTGTATAAACTCCCCTGGCACATCGTGGCTCTTATTTGAAACAGCACAGTCCTGTTCCTGCTCTTTCCGTCCCCCACTGCCAGCAGAAGGAAGAGCCCTGAGCAGCACCCTGCAGCTAATCCCTGGACAACTTGGAGCAAGGCACACTTGTAGCCAGCGAATATTGTGAAACGCTGCTTGGAATTGCTCATGGGTTGTGAATGTTTGAGCCAGGCCAACCCAGAGCTGAGCTGACTCACGTAAGGATTCTCTGGGGGGTCTGAGCCTCACCCAGAGCCAGCACACCCTTCTGACCCTGGGGGCTCTTACAGCCTGCAAACTGCAGCTTTGGGTTACTCAGCTTCGCAGGGGTGTTACCACGCTGCTGCCTTTCTCACTTTTTTTTTTCCCTCCAGTCCACATTTTGTGCATTATGGACACAAAGGCAAAAAGGGATATGTAAAACCCCAGGGGTTTGCAAGCTTGTTAGAAATTGTTTGGTTTCACAGGCTGTCCCGAGGACATTGGTAGCACCTTCTCTTTTCAGGCGGGGCTGGAAGGGCCTCTGTCCTTGCGTCTGAAGCCAGAGTGGGAGGGGTGAAAAGCTGTGTTCTGTCTGCAAGCTGCCAGCTCATCCCCTCTGCTCAATATAATGTATCTGTCCGAACTCAGTGTAAACTTGAGGAGATAAAGGAGCCACTCTTTCCTTCCTCGGGACTCTTGCTGTGTTTGTTTCCTTGCAAGTGGTGCAGGCAAGGTGATTTTTCAGATGATTTTTCAGTTCTTCCTGGGTGAGGTGTAGCTGTGGGATCCAGGGTGTCACGTACTGGCAGGGCCTGCAGCAGGTGACTCGGGCTGATTTATGGGTTTTCCATTATCTTCCTTTAGGGATGCAGCTGCCAAGCCTGCATAGGGCTGCTCAGCTGGGAAGCTCACAAACTTGGTGCCATCTTTCTTCATCAAGTCTTTGCTCACTGCAATAAGCTTTCACAAGTGAAAGAGCTTTTGTCCTTTTTGCCTGTCCTGGAAATACCTTCAGGGATCTAGGCTATGGAGCTTTTCCCCAGGCTGCTGGAGCACCAGGATCTGCTGATTTCACATTCCTGTATTCTAACACGTGAATTTGTTTCTACCCATTTCTTTTGCTTTGTCTTCTCTTCTTAAGGTCCACAAGTTCTGTTCCTCCTCCTCACTCATTTTATAAAGCACTCTTGGCAAATTAGGAACAGTTAGGGCCAGTCATACTTAAGTCCAAGGTAGTTCATCTGCACAATAGTGCTTGCCATTAAAAAATTATGCTATTTTTAGTCTACACTGTTAATAATTCACAAGCTCCTGTTTGTTTTGAGAACCTCCTGGGAACAGAGAAAGTTCAGCCTCAGTTTGTGGAGGAAGAAGAGAAGGTGAAAGGAAAAAACAGAATGGAAGAAGGAGAGGGCAAAGAAGGTTGAAGAGGAAAATAGCTTACACTGAAATGAATGGTGAGCAGCAGAGGAACGAGACAGGAAAGTGCTGCCAGGTGTTGGACTTCAATGATCCTTGTGGGTTCCTTCCTATTCGGGACATTCTATGATCCTAGGGAGGTCCAAGTGACAGCTGCCCCCAAGCTGAAGGGTTAAAAATCTCAACATACAAGTAAAGCAACAGCCCAGCCCTGCAAGGAGCTGTTAGAGTGCAAGAGACCTTGCATATGAGGCTTTGCCAGCTCTTGGTCTGTATGTACATTTTCAAAACTCTCAGCAGTCTTTGCCCCAAGTGTCTCCTGCCCCCCTTGCAGCAGTTGTTCTGCCATGAGGTGCTGCTGGGCCTGGCACCATTTCAGCTGTGGCCTCATTTCATGTAGATTTTGTTGTGTGCCTGGTGACTGCAAGCAATATTGGCACCGCTGTGGCCCTGGAGGGTTTGCAGTCTAAACAGACAAGGCAAACAGCAGTTGGGAGGAGGAATAGGGGGACGAGGCCACTTTCTCAGGGTCATCATGGAGCAGCCAGGAGCATAACTGTGTGATTTTCCCACAGGCACCAGATAAGGCTGCCTCCCTTCCTGGAATTCTGGGTTGTCATTTCTCTCTCCCCTTTTGTCTGTTGCTCTGTGACTTATTTACCATTGCTTGCTTGAAGAATTTTAGGTGATTCTAGAGTGATGTACATCTGGTACTTAAGGGGTTAATTTTTAAAGGTCTGCTAAAAGTGTGTGCAGTGGAAAAGCTGCACAGATGGAATATCAGACTATGGGAATTTTTTCTCTGTGTTCTTTTGGTCTCGTTGGGATTTTATAATTTTTGGAGCACGTCTTTGGGTATAATAAATAGAGCAGATGGCTCAGTGTATGTGGGGAATTCAGAGCTTCCACGATGAGTAGCTGCACTGAAATAATGGAGACAGAAGTTTAGAGTTATTCTTTTTAGATTCAAACCATCCCTTCTCTGTAAGCCAGCCAGGGGTGCCTTGTAAGTGAGCAGCTTTCAGAAATATCTGTGCTAAATTTACCCTCTGAGGTACAAGAGGTCCTATCCCAGACGGCTGAAGTGACACTGAGAGCTTTGAGCTGTCCAAAAGAAGGGCAGGGGAGAAGGAAGCTCTGCAAGTGCTGCATTAACAAGTGCTCAATTCTCCTGGTGCCATCAAGGATTGACCAAAATGAGCTGGGATTGGGAAGCTGGTATAAGACCAGAGGAATTCAAAGCAGTCACACAACAAGTCAGAAAAAGGGCTGTGTCCTGGCCAGCTCTGAGTGTACAAATCACAAGACAGCAGAGAATGTTCTGAATTGTTCCAAACCCAAATGCTTTCGTGTTAATATGAAATATTTACCTTATTTTTTTTTTAATGTCTGATCCAAGGCAGAACTTTACAGTGGTTGCTGCTAACCTGGGGTGCAAGCAGCAGTAATAAACTGCTGAACATGATCATGATGGAAAGAATATTTTTGGGGGCTTTTTTGTTTGTTTGGGGTTTTTTTTGGTTTTTTTTAATGTTTTGGCATTGGACTATCAGGATTGCGCAAACAGGGAAAATCAATGGCATGAAGGGTGTCAGTGTAAATCTCACATGAAGGGTGTCAGTGTAAATGTCAATAAATAATCTATAAATTCAATTTATAGAAAAACAGGCTGCATTTAATAGGAAAAAGGGGATAGAGTCCCTCCATTCTGTAGAGCAGATCAATAAAATAATCAGGACAGAAGAAGTCAGCATGTTGGGGAATTGCAGGGCTGTGTGCGGCAGCTTCTGCCTGGAAACAGCCGAGGCTGCATTCCTGCTGCGGGGAGTTGGGAAAGAGCAGGTTGCTTATAGATAAAGAGTGTTTGCTCACAGATCAAACAGCTTGAGGTGGGCCTGAGCTGGTGTTGAACTGAGCTTGAAAATATTTGGGTGGCTTGTGTCCAGCCTTGGGCTATGGAGGAGGTGCAGAACCTGAGAGAAATGAGCATTCTTTGAAAGCGGAGGTTGGACAAGCAATTTCTCCCAGTCCCCATTTCTGGGTTGTTAAAATGCTGTAAATAGACATAGGAGTGAGGAGGGAACACAGACCCTTCCCTTCTGTGGTACCCTGAGGAAGAGTGGCTGTGCTTGCCCAGAGTGTGCAGGGTAAGGCTGGTGTGAGCCCTTCGTGGTGACACAGGGAAGGGAGCTTGTGGCAGAACTGGCCGTGCTGGATCTTCCCGGGATGGCTCCTCCAGGCATGCCTGAGCCCAGCTCTCTGTTCCCCGCTCCTGTGCAGGTGTGAGTGCTGGCCTGCTCACAGCCCTCTGCGGCTGGGCAAACACTCTGGGAAGAGACACTCATTCTGCAAATGGAGCTGTAATCATGTGCATGTGCCTTATGTGAGCACAGCCCTTTCCACAGGGTGAAGGAATAAGCCACAGCAGCACAGGCCCCATTGCTTGGCTGTCCCACACTACAGGCTTTGTTTCTTTCTGTCTATTCCTAAACAGCCCTGGCTACAGAAGCACCAGCTCTGTGCCTGTGTAATTCACCTGCATCACTTATCTCTCCACTGCACATCTGGCTCTGATCAGCCAGCCAGGGTCACTCCAGTGAGCCTGAGAGCTCTTAAGGGAAGGCCCTGCCCTCTGCATTAACGTAATTGCAGGTTATTTGTGAGATTCCTTCCACAGCTTACTTCCTGAAGGTCTGGCACAGAAATCCGGTTTTGTAATTTGAGCCCTAACGAGTGGCTGGATGTAATTATGGGCTCCATTATCCCAGCAGCCTCTGTAGCATGGAAAGTAAAAGCTCAGTGTTGCCACTAGCACTGAAAATACAGCAATTGGTAGCTAATAACTCCCTTGTGCAAGCAGTGCGTGGGCAGTGTGTACACAGGTAGGACCCAGGTTCTCTGGGGTCTGCTCTGGTCTGTTTATAAATGTTTCCCAAAAGAGGCTGACAAGATTTCTGGTTATACTCTCATTATAGCTCTCCTGAAGGCACAGATTACACACAAAATGTGTAACAAATAAGATTAATAGGTTCCCCACTAAAGCAAAGCAGGATCTGGGGAAGCGTAATTTACCTTTCTGCCAGATGTCATAAATGGGAGATGAGCTAGACATGGTCAGACCTACGGACACAGAGATCAGCTGCAGAGCAAAAGGTGTCAAGGCAGCTGAACACTGGGAATGCTCTGGTCACTGAGAAAAGGCTGCAGAGAACTAAAGACATGGGACAGAGACCACATTCCTGCCAGACCTGACATGTAAGGCAATCTGCAGCTGTGTCCAGGGCTGCATCCCTCTGGAGACAGGTCAGCTGTGTCCGAGGCTCTGGGCCAGGGGCAGCGTCCAGGGAGGGCCCTGCTCAGGGGAGGCTGCTGCTCACCTGCTTTGTCTTCTCAGGCTACAGGGATGGGGCTGCTTTCTCATCCGTGCCTGTGCAGCACTAATTCCAAGGGTTTGGGATGCAGTGGGAGCCCTGAGGAGTCCCTGCAATGCAAACAGCATGGCTGTAGTAAAGGCTGAGTTACACAACTCGGGTGCAAGGTGATAAAGCCACCACATGGAGATCAGGCAGACTTACTCACACTCAATGTGTAGCTTCTAATCTTTAAACTGCAGTTGGGACCCCTTCCATGCTCCTGAGTCAAAGCCTTCCAGCTCCCACATGGCTCAATCCAGGCCCTTTTTTGGGCTGCATTTGAAGGCTGTTTGGCCATGACTCTGTCAAAAAAATGGTGACATTTTCTTTTTTTAATTAAAGTTGAGATCCATGTATGGAAGTAAAAGATAAATTGACCAGTCTAATACAAGAAAATATTTTAAGTGCAATTCCATTACACAACTTAGCTGGAGAAAGCTCATATGCTACACAGCTGTAACCTTTTCCTTTCCTTCCTTACTGAGCCTGGGAGCATTGCCCTCTTGCCTTCTTTCTGTTGGAGCTGGCTTTTCCTGTCATACTGCATACTCTGAGAGAGCTTGGCATTTTTCCCTGCCCTCTGCAGCTCTGGAATACTTTATTGCTGTTTCTTAATGCCTGTTATGACTGCAAGTAAGGCATAAGTGGTGCCTTTCTTTCGCTGCTGCTTTTAAGTCACATGATGATATTTGGGAAATCCGTGGACCTGCAGCACTGCAAAATCATACCCACAATGAAAAACGAGTCCAAAAATGCAAAGAAGGTTAATGAGTCCTTAAAGGGTCAGGTTTGGGTTTAGGGCAAGGAGAGTTACTGATGGCCAGCAGTGTGATTCTGCAGCATTGTCATTGCCCATATGGCCAGAGAATTAAAAAAGTAAATACAAAGACTGCATCTGTGTGTGGATAGCAGCTGGGAGCTCACCAGGAAAGTGCAAATGTAACCATGGTGTTCACAAGAGGGGCATGGCTCCGGGGTAAGCTTCATCCCCAGTTTCCAGCTCCATTTAACAGCAGCTCAAACACACCATGACTGAGGCCTCTGTGATGCTCAGCATTATTTGGAAGCCCAGCAAAGCAGCACATGTTTAATCCAAAGGATGTTGCTACGTACCATCCATCCAAACTTCTGGATATCTACTGCAAGTAAGCCTTTTTAAGGTTTTATTTTAGAAAAGCTTGTGTGGGCTTAAACAGCAGTTGCAATTAAATAGGGCAGCATCAGCTAATGGCATGAGTCATGGGGAGGAAACAGCAGCAGTTGGGGAAAACTCTTCAGTAACAAAGAGTCTTTATATTCATATATTCATACAGGCTGACACGAGGCTTACATAGAGGTTGTTTAAGAAGCAGAAAACTCACTTCTGGTCTTGACATTCTCCCAGTTCTTAAAGACTTACGTTTCCATCAGACAATTCCTTTCCCTTGTCAGTCCCTCCCCTAACCCGAGTACTTAAGAAGGCAGAGCAGAAAGGAGAGACAATCTCTGATGGCCAGGCTGCTCCGGTGGCTTTTCTCCCCAGTGCACTGCACCTGTGTTTAAGTTAAAATAAAGTCCAGGTGTCCCATGTGTGAATCCTGTAGGCCTTTGCTAACCAGAGTCCAGCTGTGACAGTAAATCCCATTTCTGCCCCCAGCCCTTTGGTCAGTGCTGAACTGGCAGGAGTGCTGTGGTGCCAGCAGGGCTCAGACTCTGGCTGCTGCAGCAAGAGCCATGCTTGACGGATGTGCTGACGCTACTGAACCCAAATCCTGGCTCCCAGACAATGTGACTGTGGTCTAAAACCAGCTGATCTAACTGAGAAATAATGGCCCTGAACTGAATGGGACTTGCACAGGTTTTTACACAGTGTCAGGGGGAAAAGTGTCAGGCCCAGTCCCATGTTGTGCAAATTGAGACCAGTTTTAATTCCATGGCCCCCTGAGTGATGGGCATTCCCTGGGCCTCCTTGGGTGGGTCTGCTTGGGTGTGAGCAGCCTTTGGGAGCTGGGCTCCCTTGAGCATGAGGCACTGGAAGGCTTTCTGGAGACAAGCACTCAAACAAGTTTAATGTGATTTTATGGAGAATTCTGCATTGCTTCCAGTGGAACCACTGCAGGATGCAGAGGAGATCGGGCCTAGGAACAAGCTGAAGGCTTCTCTTGCTGATGCTATGGTGTGATAAACAAGAAAGGAAACAAAATGTCAGGGAGAGGAAGTGATAACCTCAAATTATCCTTTGGGGCAATGTTCTAATCTAGGCTGTACTGATTAGTCATCCAGAACAATTAAAATACTGCTTTATAATATTTAAGTAACTTAACCTCTCCAATGACTATCATATGTGGGGATGGCATTACTCACTGGGGAAGGGAAAAGTAGATACACGAAATGATCTCATTCTGCTGAAGTCTTTAGAACACAAGCACATACACTGGGAGTGATTGTGATCAAACAACTTCAGGCGGGACTCGACAAAGAGCTTGTTTATAGCTCCAAGGCAAACGGGCAGACACTGACAGGGCTGTGTCCCTTTCCCCAGCATCAGCCTCTATTTCAGAAAATATACTGTTCCATTAAGTGCAATTAGAATATCAGAGCTCTTGTGAGGCCTTGATAATAGACTATTTCTTTTATCAGATCAAGTGCCAGGGATTAAACTCCTGGTGTTCTGCATCCAAATGAGATTTCTACTGGGCCAGAAATACTTGCTTTTAGAATTGATTGTGTGAAACATCGTGCTACAATTTGAATGATCCTTTGATGACTGGACTTTCTGGGATAGAAGTTCCAATGTGAGTATTTTGTACAGAATTTCTAATTCCTCTGGAGCATAATTCATCATTCTGTGATTACCATTTATCCAGTGGGATCATTTGCTGGCTCTGTTCTTGTTTAACAGATGCTGTTGCAGTCAGGGAGGAACTGAGAAGCAGAGAACACAAAGGAAAACCCGGGGTTTACGCTTAAGACAAGGTTTCTTCATGTTTTGCAGTATGTCCCAGGTGCGGGGTAAGTCAGTGGAAGATATCACGGGAGGAGCAGGAACGCAGGGCTGGCGGATGGAAAGCCGGGCTGTTCTCTGCAGCCAGCCCGAGCCCGAGGGCGTTCAGCGGCCTCTAATGCCCTCTGATGGACAAAAGCATCGCAGCCGCGGCTCTGCCAGGGAGGCTCCTGGTTAAACCTGCCTTTGAGGGGCTTGGAGCTGAGAAGGTGAAGTCACCTCTTACTAAAGCTTGGCAGATCCTTTTCTTCCTCCTTTACTGAGGTTTGTTTGTTTGGCTTAAGAACAGGAGGGAAATATTTTTGACCCTGATGGCAGACTTGGCACAGTTCCCCCACAGTAACACCACGTCCATCAGGAATTGGGATCAGACCTGTGCCTTACAGAGCAATGCTTCCAGAAAGGATGGGAGGTTTCTGGACCAAAGCTGACAAATAGAAATTGAAAAGTATCACTCAGCATGTTTGAGCCACTGCTGGAGTGTTTGACAAATGCTGGTGAAAATGAGAAACTGGGATAGGAGGAATGGAGAGAAAAAAAATCAAAGGATGAAGCAGAGGCTTCAGGGAGTCAGAAGATAAAAAAGGTTAATAAATAAATAATTTGAATTGAAAACACAAGATAGAGGAAAGCAGAAAAATATGTGAGAGGGCTAAAAAAAAAAGAAAATAAGAAAAATTCCATATTCTCTGGCAAAAAGTCAAGAGAAGTGTCACCTCCAAGAGGCAGTTCAGGTGTAATGCCAGAAAGGCCCAGATCTCCTGGGTACAGTGTAGGTGATGTTCAGAAATTAAATAAATCTGAAAGTGTAAAATGCACCAGAAAGGAAGGAAATGCTGCCTTTGAAGGGGATTTTATTGGAGGTGGGGTTGTTAACTGTTGGTATCTGTGACACAGGATCAGCACCTTCTCTCCCAAGCAAGGACAAAGTGTGAGCTGAGAATTCCCTGAGGTTTTCCTGCAGACCTGGCCAGGTCATTTCCTGTGTATGCCTCGATCTTCTCCTCGGCGTCCTCATCCTCCAACTCAGGCAAAAAGCAGAAGTGCCAGAATATCTCCAAGGAAATGATTCATGGGACATTTTTGGCTGGATTGAAAACATCTGCAGCTGGAAACTTCACGAGGGGGACTCTTCCCACATAGATAAATTTCCAACTCACACTTTATGGGTTGGCTGTTCAGGCTGTAAACCTCTGCGCAGAGGGAATAGAGACACGGCAGGGACTTCCCTGTGCCGTGTGATTCCTACCACTTGTGCCACTTTGACAGCCACAATGGGAAATTTTTAGTGAGGAAATGTCATTGGCATTCACACCAAAACCTGACAACACTCTGTGGATGCCTTAGGCTGCAATTCCTTATTTTAGTTTACACAGAAGCTTAAGGAAGTGCATAAAAAGCTCTTGCTAAAGTGTCCTTAAAAATCCAGAAGCAGGAGGTTTTGAAGAGCTGCTGAAGAAATGGTGGCACAACTCAGAGTTATCAGGAGCTAGGGAACTTGGAATGGTTTATTCTGCAGCAATACCCAGCTGTTACAGACAGTCCTGTCTCTGCTTGGGGAGGGCAGAATCAGCTGGGGCTTCATGGACCCACAGGCAGGGTCTGGCACAAAAATGAATAGTAGGGATATTATGGGGGTTCTGGGGACAGCAGGGGCAGAATGGGTCTCCAGTCTAAGTACTGGCTGAACTTTTTCAAGGAGTTGGAGGGAAAATGAGAATTTCCGACATCATCATTCAACCCCTGTGTTTAAAATCTGGGAATACTACAGCAAATCATGTTTGCTTTTAGGGAACAGATTTGCTTTGGGAAAAACACTGCCAGAAGCAGGAAGAAGCAGTTTGTTTTGTTTAGTACATTTTGAAGGGAAGAAATAGCCTATCCTTTTCTATCTCAGTCAGGAGTTCCCAGGATGCTTCTCTCTGATCTAATCATATCACCCTGATTTCTTTCTGGCATTTAGGGACATGTTTTTCAGAACCATATCAGTCAGCTGAAGCCCTTTCCTGCCCCTACATGAATTATTATTGTTTAGATTTTGGCAGAACATAGAGATCCCTGTGAAGATTGTGGCTGGTTTGCCTTCAGTGGAGATTATTCCTGCCTGACTGCAGTGGGACACTGAGGGGTCAAATACATAAACATTTGGAAAAGGAGCCATGACAAGAAGGACCCAATGGGGTCAGTTCTGCCTCCAGCAGGGAGACCAAGCCCTCAGGTTTAATTGGGAATTAATAAACCATCCTGGGTAAGGATGATTTCTGTCATGGTAAAGAACACAAAACACCAAAGGTTCTGCTCCACTGATGTTTTGTGTTCATCTCTGCGGTTTGGTGTTGGTGTTTTGTGTTCTCTGCCTTTGCACTCCCTGTGACAAAGCCTTATTCATCAATCAATTAACTGGTTTTCTTTCTTAAATAAAATATCTGCAATTGATTTTCATCTTTTCATAAAACATCTGCTCTTCAAAAATTTGCTGTCACCCAAGTTCCTGGATTTGATGCCAGAATGCAATGGAACTGTTTGTTGTGTAAATCCAAATTACAGGATTTTTATTGCTCATTATTTACAAGGCAAGTTGACTCAGGATAAATTTGATATTGCTGTTGCTGGTAATAATTCCTATGTGCTGTGATAACTGCAAGAGTCTCTGAGTCACATGGAGGCCCTGACTGAGTGGGGGGACAGAAATTCCATTTGATTCTCCAGTTCTGCCAATTTTAAACCCACTGTTCCAGAGCCCTCACCTCAAGCTGCGTCTTTATTTATATCATCAGAATTTCAATGCGGCTCTGGTATGAAAGAACATTATTTTGTGCTTCTGTCTACCCAGAAGGAAAACAAATTAACATTCCAAAGAAGGAAAGTGGAAGTGGATGTTTATTTGTGTGTATCCTACTTTTCTGAGTCACCGAGTAAACAGTTGGCTAGGGCTGGTGTGACCAGGCTGGGGATGAAGGTGCCACACTCGGACCTGTATTTACTGTCACCGTTCTGCAGTGAAAACTGGGAACGCAACAAAATAAGCTAATTTATAGAAACAACCGGGTTTATATTTAAAAGGTACAATACAGCTGTGAATTCCAGCCTGAGACAGCAAACCTGTGGTTGATCAGTAAAGCGCAGCGGCTGGAGGTGGCCACCGCAGAGGGAATAAAGCATCAGCCAAGGCTCCTGTGTGCAAGGGGAGCGGAGACGGTCCCGTGAGGGGCTGCGGACCCCAGCGCGGCTGGGGCAGGTGGGGCGTGCGGGCCGGGGGAGGCAGATGGTCGTTAGTAGCCGTGGCTAGCGGCGCTGGGAGGGCCCGGGCACGGCGTGTGTGCCCGCTCAGCCCTCGGGAACCCTCCAGGA